AGAATTGCTTCATCTGGAGAAATGGCTGTCTAGGGCTCAGTAAGAAGGTTAAAGAGGGACTCAGTAAGGTTTAAGTCATGACAGCAAGGAATGAAAATCAATAGAGTACAGTTATGTTAGAGAATAAGACTCCTCTTAGTGTTTAATTAGTTTGGCCAGTAGGAGCTCATAAAATATGACCATCTGTTTTGTGATTGTCAAAACTTATTTTCCATTTGCCTGCCTTTTGGCATGTCATGCTATAGAAGGTATATTGTCAGGTTCATGAACTGTTGTCCTAGCAACTTTACAAGTTTTCCATTGGGAATAAAGCTCAATGAAACATATCATATTGCACAGATGGTTTCATTGATCCTCAGTCATACGGCATATCTTTATTAAAATCTAACAGTGCCAGTGTTTGTGACGTTAGTGATCCAACTGGCGTGATTTTGTGAAGGCACCTTTTGTCTAGTCCCTTTAAGCTCAATGCCTTAGGAAGATTGATGGCTTCCAGTTTTCCTTGCAAAATTCCATTTGTTCTACCTCAGGAAAACAGTCAAATTGCATTCTGTGCCACCTCATCTTCCTTATCACCTGTGAACAGCACACCATTAGGGTGGGTGAATTGGCTTCTGAGGGCAGCACATGCCATGTGTTCCTTAATACACTCTTTTTCTGAGTTATGGGGACTTATTCCTTATCAATAGTTACCCTGCAGGGATGCTTGGGTTTTTACATCCCATGCAAAATAGTTGTGGGTGACACAAAGTTTAGAAGGTTTGAATTTGACTCATATATGCTAGTTTTTTCTTGAAACTAAATGACATCATGCACAACTCCCAATGATTGATGGCTGGATCAGACTGGATGAAGCTTCTGTAGAAAGGGAATAGATAAGGTCAGGAGGAAGATGCCAGCCTGGACGTAAAGAAACAATCAAGACAAACTAACATATTCAACAAGTGAATGTCTTTATTTCCCTCCTGGCATCTTCCTTCTGAATTTATCTGTTCCTCTCCTGCAGAAGCTTCATACAGTTCGATCTTAAATCTTCACTAAGACAAACATGCACATTGAAGACGTTTAAGTCACCCATTGACCAACGCATTGATGCTTTCCCAAAGGATGTGAGAGAAGAAAGGAAGAGATTTCTGTGTATTAAAAAATTTAGTTATATGTATATATTATTTATAACTCATATGATTTTGAACCTGTTGGTCATGTGGGTACAGACTATGTGACATACATTGTATTCTATCATCAGATGACCAATTTTAAACTGAGACATGGTAAATTCTGTAAGTAGAATAAGCCAAGAATACCTGCAATTATAGTAGGTACAGGCAATTGACTTAAACGCCTGTCTTGTTCAGAAGACACAAAAGACACATAACTGTCGTCTTTAATGGCCCATTAACGGTTGTACAGCAGTTACCTAGAATCCTGAGGTCATTTCCGTCTCACATCCTAGGCAAGACCAAGTGCTGTTAAGTTGGTTGGAGTTGATAGGATGCAAAAAAAAAGTCTTGTACCATTTAGTTATTATGTATCAATGCAAAAATGACTTCTTTCAAAATTTCCCTACTTTGAAAAAATGGGAATGACTATCAAATAAATCATCAAAATTGTTGAGTTCAGGCTTTAGAAATTATTATGTTTATTGTTTGCTGCCTTTGTCAGTCCCATCTTTAGTCACAATGTGTATTTGGGATTCAATAAATATTGTTGGGATTGGGAGTCAATAAACATAAGGTAAATAGCGAGTCAACAATTTTATGGGCCATCTGTTACTGTCTTCATTAATGTTTATTGTCTTCAGTTATTGCATCTTCCTGTTACTTGCTGTTTACCCTCAGGCAAGAATTTGAACTGCATGTGAACCAGTTTTTGGAATGAAACTTACATTATAATTTCAAATACATGCTGGTGTGTATGGACTATGGATGCATTTTTGTGGATTACATTTCTGCATAGAATGCAATAACCATCCTCACTGTTAATTGCACTAAGTTCACCTTTGCCAGGAATTGTTAGAAACAATTATGTATTTCATCTATATTTCATTTAATATATGTTAGGTTGTAGACTTTTCACATTTTACTGTAGACTTTCACATGAAACACCTAAGGTATATATCTCCATATATGTTGGATGAACGATCTTGGAGAAAATACTGCCCTATTACCTTTTAATAAGAAAATTATCAATGTCCACAGTACTCCACTAGTATCCTCAGCCAGTGTTCTGAACATCAGCCTTATCCTGCCATACTAAACTGAAGCCTTGACTCATTTTCTGTGTTATAACCATTAGAAAGCATTTAACACAGTAACTGCTAGTACTAACTGATGTTTCAGCACCAAGGAAAGGACCGGTTTGAAATTACAGTATTTAGGGTAGATACTGTAAGTCTACAAATATCCGCGGTATATTTAGATTCGCGGAATTCGCGGGGACCTTTGTACCGCGAATCTATTTCCCCGCGAATATGTTTTGCGTAAGTGTGCCCCCCTCCCCACATGCATTCACGACGGGCTTCGAGTTCAAGCGAAACACGCGATCCACAAATCACCGCAAATCGACTCTATTCTTAGCAGATGTACGTAGTTGAGTACTGTATCAAAACTATTAAAGTTAAACTGTTATAAAAAAAATAATATTATGAGACACCAAATAGCGATAGCACTGGCCGTGTCAACCACGTAACGTTACCGCCCGACAAAAATCTTTGCGTGTAGAGCGCCGGCCATACCGCTAAAATGCGGGCACATCGGGCATATCTACAAATATTCTGGCGAAAAATATAAATTATAATTGTTGGTACCTGGGAAATGTTACTTGGTTCTCTTTTGCTGGAGTTTTTTTCTTGTTTTGATGGGTAGAAACGCTAGCGTAACGTGGCTACAAGAAGGCGACCTTGGGACACTTCCGCATTCATCGAACGCCAAAATCTCACCGAATACGCCATAAATTGGCATAGCAATACATGTTTTCCTGAAAGATTCTTTTCATTATGCATTTCTTCACTACAGTGTCGATGTGTAGTTGTGGAAAATAGCGCTTTAGCGATATTTCCGAACGAAGAAAATTGTTTCACGCGCTTCAGTTTGAATGTGTATTACCGCCGGCACGACGCGACAACCAATCAGAGACGCGTAATGCGGACATGTGACAGAGCATGCAGGCAGCCTTGCGCGGTGCAGGAAACAATTTTTTGCGCCGCGTTTTAGGAGATAAATGCAGGGACACGAACTTTTCTTATTCTTAAAATGCATTTTACAAATTCTTTTTTGAATAGCCAAGGGGAAATCGCGAATCTAAAAATACAGCGGATTGTCCATTTTCCCGAAACCGCGAACTTTAGGCCCCGCGAATCTAAAGAGACTTACAGTATGCGGCATGGTTCTATGCAAAGTCCCTGTTTAAGGCATTTCTGACGTTATACATATTGTAGATGATCACTGTATGATCTAATGCATTTTGAGACAAAATAGCTATAAAGTGCCTTTCCCAAGGGCACAACACAATTTTGAGATGCCAGGGATTCGAACCCAGAACCTTCAAATTCAAGTGTAAGTCAACAACCCTAACCACAAGACCACCTTGCCACTTCAAATGCCTTTAATGTGGGTTTTGAAATCATGTTGATGTCATTTGCTATCTTCAGTATTTTCAGTAGTAATACATGTATTCAATATAATTCAATATAATTACCTATTAGTAGATTACTTAATGCTCAGCCACTTACTTCAGTCAGCTCTTTGACTCCAAGGGCTTTTTGCAGACCACTGATAGTGCAGTATATAATTGTCATCAAACATTTGGTACTGGCCATGCAGATCAGACCTGGTGAGGTTGTAATGTGTTGTATCTATCCAGACGCAGGGTTCCAGTCAATGATGGCAGGTACTGAGTGAATGTCATTTGCCACCGTACACTGCTCAAGTTTCTCAATGCCAACGCTAGTTCAAACATTTATACATGAATTCATTTATCATGCATGGCTGTTAAGCACAGAGATGGGAGCTAGAAATCACCAGTTAATATATCAGTAATATAATAATCTTGCATTGCCACAGTTGCATTGATACAGTTATATCTGTGTATGGATGGCTTTCCAGCTGCAGTTCCAGGTAGCATTGTCAGTGTGAATTTCACAGAACTTGTTGATGACTGACACAGGGATAGGGAACATGTCATTGTCCTTTGAATCAAGACAAATGATATTCAGAACAACAAATCATGATTAGCTGAAACTCTGATGGGAAACCTTTTTCCTGGATGATGAATGGCTTAGAGACACCTTGAGGAATGTTGCCATTGGGACTTGGTGTTATAGATACTCTTCAACACTAAATTAGATCTTTTATGCTTGAACTTCATGAATGACACAGTAATGCTCTGGCAGAGGAAGAGAGGCCTAACCCCAAAGTGCACATCTGTTCTTGAGGGACAGTCTGCATAAAGTAAAACTTTCAAGTATCTGAGGCACTTTATCTCAGGATCAGATGGAGGCTTGAAAGTATAGGAATGACAAGTCAGTGCATGCATTAACATGTACATTACATCAGTGTCTTTGTAAGTCTTGGTACCTACACTTATCTGGAGAATTTTGGTTCATGCAAAGCCGAGAGTAGACTGAGCTCTTGACATCAATCATATTTGACTATAGTATAGTTTGGCTCTCAATTCTGTGTCATTTTAGGTCTTTTCTTAAAAAAAAGGAAGCTTGCATCAAACACAGTGTACTTACTAACAACACAATATACACAATAATATACTGTATATAATTTTATTCACTGGATATATTAATAACAAAAAAACAGCAATAGTTTCATGTAGTAGCAATTAACTTCTGAGGATCTTGCTGTTCAAAGTTGCTGTAAAATTAGTGACTGAATGGCACATCTTATCTTTATCAGAAGCTAAAAGGCAAGGCATATTCTCATGTATGAAAGTAAAACAGTTACTGTACTTACCAGAGTATCTTTACCTGAGGCAATTTCATTCTCTTCTAGTGGAGTGGTGACCAGTCTGTTCCAGCAGCCCTCTCCTGTTACGGGTAGACTTGTACTTCCACAGCGGCAACGCAACATCTACACCGAGTTTCTGGCTGAGCAACACTGCTGTGCACCGCTGGCTGGGCTGTCCTCTGTGGTGGGTAATACATATGCACATATGGCACTGTCCTTCTCTCCTTGTAGTGGCTGTGCGCGTGCATTAGCTGAATACCTAGTTTACTTTCCTGTCCAATGATAGTAACTCTCTGGAACACTGGTGCTTCAGCTTGCTGCTGAAGATTTCACGGAGAGCTAATATTTAGGCCCAGTAGTCCCTTTACAGTCATTTCACGTAAGATAGAACAAACATGTCTTCAGAGTAACCACTTGTCAAGCATCTCTGCACTTTATAGCAGACTAGAAGCTGAACAGATGCTGGTGCTGTTGTGTCTGTAGTGCCACTCTCCAATCTAATAAGAGCATGCCAACATTGATTTGGTTCAGTCCACTTGTTTTGCTTGAGGGGGGATTGTTTGGGACTATTAAAGCCAATGTTAGTCACTTCACAAATTATTGTAATCTTGTGAGAATGTTTTACAGCCTCCCTTAAAGGGACTCGACTATTCAAGGATTCGGACTGAGCTGGTAGCAATATTTGTCCTCGCAAGCTTAAGATGGAATGATCCAACATTGTATGACTGGCAACTTGAGGATAATGACTGGGGAAGAGTTTCCTCTCGAATCAACACTGATGAAAGAACAGTCCAATTATAGCTGTCCATCTGTTTGCTTCTGGCTAGCTTGAAGCAGTTTTTCATGGGGTTGAAAAAGTGCTAGATAAGGCTATATGCATTAGAGGTAACCCCTGCTTTTATCCTACACGAAGGCAAGTCATCTGGCTGTTGCAGAAATAGTAGCTGATTTGGGGCCATCATGATGTCTGCACTTCAGGTGATGGAGTGGATAAATGAATTGATTAAGGACAGAAAACATACATGTGCATTAATCAACTTTTCCCAAGCAGAGCAACCTACAGGGAGCTATCTAACCTAAATAAGCACGTGTCATTAAGAGGGCTGTACAGCGAAAATTAAAGTAAGGCAGCATGGCAGTGATGTATAACATGTTCTGGTCTTTGTTCTCATTCATATCTTTATTTTGCACACAAGAAATAAGTCTGATGAATCACAATTTCTGGTCTAAGTACTGGGGTATTGCATTCTACTTAGGCAGAGGTAGTGGTGTGTTGACATATATAGGGCATCAGGGTCTCCAGGGGCAAATGCATAACAGATGGCATTTACTTAGAGGGGATACGGCTCTATTGTTAGCATGGCTGTTAAACTCAACATAAAATTGGAGGCAATGTTTTAAAAGGCAGCTTTGAGTTATATATTAATTTTCAAATTACACATTTATATGGGTGGGCACCCCTCTTGTCTTTTATTGCAAATGATATTAACGAACTACAGAACTTTACATTCAAATATATCTTATCCCACCGGATTGGAAGCTTAATGCTTTTAAAGTTCACTGAAAAAATACAGGCCTGGGGATTTCAGGTAGGATGTAGGGAATGACCAATCCTTGAGGTATTGTATTTAATTCACATCACTTTTCATTAAAATTGAAAAGAACTTGTGGTAGATTACCAAAATTTCCAGATTTTCAAATTTAGGAAGAGGAGCAAAATACAACACGTCTGTAATGTAGACCTGCCATTTTTTTGTTGGATCAAAATGTTTTGATTCACTCTACAAGAACCTCTCCTAACACAGATGAACTTCAAAGCAAAATTGTAGGTAATAAAGATTTTTTGATCAAGGTACAGGAGTGGAAAATCTACATTTTGAAGTCTAGCATAGGCAAACAAGCTCCATAGAATTACATGTACATTGTATTCAGGGGCATAATATATTAAAAACTGTTAAAAACCATCTGAACATATTTTCTACTTATTATTTCATCATTTGGCTGAAAAATAAAATTGTTTATTATAGTGTTCTGAATAAGCATTTTCAAGCTTGATTATAACGAAGTAGGACACACAGTGTATCATTGCAAGATAACTTTCCTCCTGACTCTATTGGGTTATTGCATTCATTATTAATGCCCATTACCAGCATCTCTTACCATCTAATGTTTCATCACATTTGCCTTGATCCATGAGGCCATTATTTACTTATATAATGTTATACTGTATCTTTGTATGATGGATTAGGACAAGCAGGCGACCTTGATGCTTGTAGTTCAGCATTCTTATGCAAATAAAATTGCAATCTTTAATCTAAACTGAAGTCATATTTCTTCAAAGACAGTATTCACAGTTAGTTTTCAAATGTCAATGTGACAAACGTTGTGTCCATTAAGATTTATTATCATATAGCCGGGTGACGTTGACCAATCAGAAGGCTCCATTCCACATTCTTTATGTCGCCGTAATGTCACAAATAGAGTCAAAATCGGGTATTTATTCATCCAAATCCATACATTAAACAAACCCAATAGTCACCCGCATATGACCTCAGGTGACCCAATAGAACACGGCTCTAGTTCTAAAAAATCCAAAAATAAACTAAGTTGTGTTCCAATGACCACGGATGACTTCCATAAGAACACCCGTTCCCTGCCTGTGACCTAGTTAACGTGAACTCTACCCAGTGACCTCAGGTGACTCCAGATGGAACTATGTTCTATGTTCTATTCAGCATGTACATTGTGTCACTTACTGCATCAGTTTGGATAGGCTATCGTGTAAGCTATATGATAATAGCGTTAATGTCCCGCCCTTTCTCGGTGAATATGGTGTGATAAAGCCTTGTCAGTTGCTATAACCACCTCATAAAGCCACCTCGTTCGCTGCGCTCACTTGGTGGCTTTATTCTGTGGTTATAGCAACTGACAAGGCTTTATCACACCATATTCACCTCGGGGCGGGACATTAACCCTTAAATATACACTAGTGTATCATTTTCCTCTAACATTAGAGATAATGTAATTGGAATTATACACAGATAAATTTGACATGAACAAAGTTGACCGTTTTATTGCATTATTGTACAAGCTACACCAATTTGTTACCTTAATTCTTTTTCTACACCATTTTCAATCAGTGTCATGGCTAATTGATTCATTCTATAGGTATACTAAACAGTTGTAGTCTTGATTGTTTGGTGCAGATAAGTGTAATTGCTTTAGATGTAATATGTTTTGTAATGATTATTGTACAATGTATTTCCATCAATACAGTCATACCTCTATTTTGACAGAGATATTAGGGCCAACCCTCACCAGTACACCACTCTACATCCTACTGACACCAAAGACTTACACAAAAATTATGAATTCATAATGACCCCAAATACCATCACACTATTAGTTCTTAGGGATGTACGAATGTTGACCATGGCCAACCTCTCTGGTGCCGGTGGTACATGAATTAGATCTGTTTTTGTGCTGTTTCATCTGTAGTATAACCCGATAGTTTTCATTAATCAATAGTAGCTCTCAACTACTGATCCATGACATGTTAATGTATCCTTGGCTGACTAAGGTCCTTGAAATCAAAATACCATTTTAACAAGTCTTTGAAGAATAAAAAGCATCCGACATCTAATCTCCTTGATAATGGGAGGATCAAACAAAAAATGTATTAAATGATGGAGACTTTTGCCTGTAACAGTATATTTCATGTATACTCACATCACATTAGAACTTCCTTCAAGGACTTTTATGAAGAGAAAGTTTGGTAGATGAGGAATTGTAATGTTACGCCAAACCTAAGGTATTAATAATTGTTTAGATGTTACCATGGATATAGTTACTAACAGCATATTCTTATCAATGTTTGTAAGCAGGTGCAGCCAGGTGTTTGAATTGTATCTGTTCTTACTTCATGAGCGGAAGAATTTAATCCATTCAAGTCCTAATCATCTGGGGGCAAACCAACATGGGAGAGATGGAGAATATTGACATTTTCCCCAGAGAAATCATAGTGGAAACTTCTAATTGCAACAGAATGGACTATATCTCAACAGTGCTGCCTTGGCCTCCTTCTTGACCCCGTCAACACCAGATATTGCACAGAACCTGCAGTGTTTGTGCCACGAGGGTATAGATTTCCTGAAGGCAATTACATCCAAGATTCCAAGGATAATCAAGGCCACCATAGATGACCCCCAGCAATTGATTGTTTCAGTTGGGGCGGGCGTGGTGCCAACTTTGTTGCATCTTGAGCTTCCCAAGTGATGATGATTCATAAAATGTATCTCCATGTATAGGGCAACATCCAGAACCTCCTACTTTTTCAAATAAGAAGTTGCCACGAAACCCATGAGAAAAAGCCATATGTTAACAATGCACGTCTCACAACACCTGCTTCCAGCTACAGGCCAGGGAGTCTGATCCATTAATTTTTCCATGTATCAACTCAACAACATATATTGTGACATATTTACTTGATATTTTGCTTGTTTCAGATATAATTAATTAATGAGGCATTGGGTGTGCAGGATGTGTCTTAAATTGTACCTCCCACAGACAAAGTTGCCATCATTCCAAGTACCTACTGTGCATGAGCTGCTACAACTTGCACAACAACAAGCTGAGATGGAGCAGAATTGGGCAAGACACAGCAGTTTCACATCTTCAGATCCCAGCAATGCCCTCTGCTGGACATACATGGTGTTGCAGCCAGAACATTTTAATCCTCCTTTGGTGAGTTTCAGTAATGAATGACTTGTATTTGATTTGTATTTGAGAATTGCTGGGATTTTGGTTGTTATATTGCCAAGAGGAAAAAATAGCACAAGGAGGTACACTGCCACATTACATTGTAAGTCTCTAATATGGTAAATACATGCATCTTTGTGGCATCTTGTTTTACAGTTACTCGTCAGCCAGTTGACCTGTAGCAGACACTCAGGAGAACTACAGCTAGAAGACAATACAGGAAGAGTGGCCTGTGTTATCAGTCAATCTACAGAGGCCCCCTCCTACCCACACCTGTGTACAAACGCATGTCAATCATCTGGCAAGCCTCTTGTCCTTGTCAACTCTTGTCCTTTTGTCCACCCATGGAATCTTAACTGGCTGATCAGAGTGGACAGATACCAGCTAGTTGTTGAGAGATTCATGCATGCAAAGAATGAAAACTTGGCAAGTGACCAATCTGACCACAAGGATTTCATGACTGGTTGTTACATCAGGATCAGTGTGCAGTTCTCTATGTGTGATGTGGTAAATTTGTACAAGGTGAAGAGAGCAGGGAGACTGAAACATGGGCCAGGAGTGAAGATGTTGGATCAAGTTAGTGGTAACACAGCTGGGGACCTGCCAACAAAGAAATGTGAAATAGACAACCCAAACAGTCACAGAAAAAGAAAAGGGCTTGAGGTATCCAAGAGTTGTAAGGTGGCATGTGAAGATCCTACAGATCAGTCTGCTAGAATTTATACAGCCAAAGACCAGTCTGCTTCTCACAGAGAGGATGTCTGTTCAGCACCAAGGACAGACCCTATTAGTTCAAAACATCAATTTCCATTATGCCAGCCATCCTCTAGTAGTGACAATAAACGTGATGATCAAGCGGCACCTCAGGGTCTGGAGCTTCAAAACCAACAGTATGTTTGTCAGAACTTCTTCCTGGTGCACAAAGACTACCCAGTAGTACAGCAGTCTGCAGACAGGAAAGTAACACAGGGGTTCTACAGCTCTGGGCTGTTCCTCGGAAATGCTGTGGTTGGAGAAAACAGTCTGAGACAACAGCATGACGTAAATGCCGGTGAAGGAAGAAACATGATGGAAGCAATTAAAGAGGTATGTACAATGTCATGTGCATTTTGTATGCTTTCCTACATACAATTTTTATTGAATCATAAAACTTTTTCTAAGGTAGAAGATAACTTGTGTCACCTTATTGACGGACAACCATGCTCTCCTTCCTTCAAGGTGGCTGTACTGTTCACAGGGGATGCTGTGCAGTGGTATACGGTGATGCACGAAGGCTGTCTGTACCGTTTGGTCTGCCCAGACAGCACCGACACTGCTGTCTTTGCCACCAAGGTGAGCTCTGCAGCTTTGAACAGGGCTGTTGATGCCACAAACTGCAGAACTTGTGTTGTCCTACCAACAGGCGTGTTTGTGGAAGTACTGAGTGAACACAGGAAGGACCTGTGTGCCTCAAGGTTGGATCCAGTGTTAAGTGTTGAGGACTTGTGCAAAACAAAGTCCAGTCTGCATTCTAGATTGATATCGTTGTCCTGTTCCTTAGTGTCTTGCAAGTATGATGTAAAACATCCAAATGATGGAAGCAGTAAGCCTTTGTCAAGGACGCACAAGCTAGCAATATCCTCCATGGTCATACAGGATCTCAACTCCCCATTCTACACAATGACAATCTATGCAAACTTTCTGGCAGTTCCCTATGCCCTTGGGCTTTTGCCTGGAGCTGTTCTGACACTTAGAAGACTTGAGGTTCGGCTTTCCAAGAAGAACAAGATGTACTGTTACTTCAACAGCTCGTCCAGTGTCAGAGTAGAAGCACTGTCACATAGGGACATGAAGGAGAGCATTACAACTGGGCCTTCAGCACCAACATCTTTGGACAACTTGCAAAATATACCAAAGGTGTTTCTTGGACAGCTGATCAATAGTGAGGCAAGGCAGCAGGTCATGGTCAAGGTTATCTGCCAGGTGAGATACAGCATGGTGTTAGCAGTTGGCTTAGGTACTAAAGGAACTTCAGAATCTGTAATGCAAAAATATTAGTTGTCTCTGTATGTTCTATATTCAGAATCTCTTTGAATTCTAAAAAATATTACATATACATGTACATAGATAACTCACAATGTAACTATAGAATGGTCCATAAAGATGGGTATTACCATTAGGTAGTGGTTACTGAAATGGAAAAAAGGCATTACCAGTGTCTGCTGTACTGGAGTACAATATGTGCCAAAGGACAAGTGATCATTGTTCTGTCACTATAGGTTGAACATATCCCAACAAAGAATGGAGAAATATTTTTACAAGCTTGTTGTCCTTTTACATTTTTTTCCAAAAGGTTGTGTGCATAAGGTACCTGTACATGCAGTACACCTGCAGCAGTTGTGGGCAGATTTTCTCCAACGGACAGTGTCAGAACAGGCCATGTACCAGCAGCAGCTCTGACCCAGGACACTTCACAGCAAAGGCCAGGTAGGAGATCTCTTCTTGAGGGAAATTTTCTAAGCTTGAGCATGATACAGATGTAAGCCTTAAAAGACACATAAAGGCATTGAATCATTCAGAATACATGTATCAAAGCCTCTTTTAATCAGCTGACCGTTTTAAAAATCATATCCAGTTGCTTGAGTAACTGTTTTTGGCACCTCTTTTAATCATTTATTATTTGAGGCTGTTGTAGTACAGCCAGTCATTAGTCAAAAAACAAACTTAATGGTTAAGTACAGTCACCAGTGCTATGTTCTAATAAAACATGGATTATCCTAAACTAGTAATCCAGATGACTAATAACTCAGACTATTGCACCATGCAGCTTCTTGGTTGATGATGGCACTGGCACAGCCCATGTGCACTGCCAACAAGATGTGATAGGGGGAGTGCTTGGGCTTACTGATGACCACTGGAACATTTTAAAGAGACAAGCACAGAAGAAAGGGAGATTGGCTCTAAGAGAGAGTGGCTGGGGCAATAATGAATGGGTATGTAAAAAAAAAACATTTAGTCATTGTCATGTTCTTGGTAACATATCTTTTGATTCTGCTGTATTGTTTCTTATGAAAAGATGGCCTCACACCTTTGCCAAATAATGTTACGTTTTGATTGATGAATTCATTGTCTCATTGATTATTGTCAAATAAGGTCATCATTTGCATGAATTACATCAGTTGTTCATATGCTCTACCCACTTCAGAATTTTCACTTAATCTAGAACAGATCAGAATGCATGGTAAAACTGTTTTGAAATCATATTAATATTTGATGTTTTGCTGGGAATGTGCAGGTCGCTGATGGAGATGGATGTGAGAGTCCTGTTGAGTCTCTGCTGACCAGTCTGTGCGAGAGCCTGCTGGTCAGACGACACGTCCAGCTGTACTGTCAGATCACCTCCACAGTCCACTCCTCCAACTCTAACTCAGGGAAAGGTCAGTAACTTCAAAAAAGTTTCTTGTTTCAGCAAAAACAAGTTATAAATATTGGTTGTAATTGACTTTTTACATAGTTGGTAACCATAAGCTAGGGGACATGCATGTGCAGGCCAAGCAGGCAGCCTGTTCAACATGCACATGTTCAGTATAGTTGTGGTGTCTTGACAAATGTGATGTGATTATTTTGAATGGAATTTAATTTCTTGATTGCAGTTAATTGTCATCAAGTATTGTTATTGTAAGTGGTATATGTCATCTCAGATCTGTACACTGTGACAATTAGCTCAAGAAGTTTGGAAACTTGAGCCAGTGGCATCATCCCACAATAATTTTTTAGCACAAAGTTGGTACTCATGTTCAGTTATGGCTTATGCTTCCCTCTGCAGATTATCCAGTAGTAACCCTGGAGGTGGGAGGTGTGCAGTACTTGACACACATCCACCCAGCTGTTCATCTATGCTGCCTAAAATCAGTGGGATAGAACAACATGGCTTATGGACTGATGGATTTTTGTTCAGTTTAGTCAGGGGAACAGTGTGAATGCACTGTCAGAGTACAAACTATACTGTATAAGGCCACACCTCTGGAGACCCTAAATCTAAAGCAAGAGCATGAAAAAAATACTTAAGGGCCACAAATTGTGAGAGAACACACTGTAACAACCTACAACATATTCTTATATGGTTAAGTTTGGGAATGATAAATGTGCGATATTATAAGTGGATCAACTTATGAAAGAGTATCCCACAACAAAGCAACATTACTGAAATGCAGACATTTTATTCAGCCAATTCTATATCCCCATCTATATATACAACACAGCAGTTAAGAATCCTTCTTGTGTAAGTTATTTTGTGTGTAAAACCACAAAAATGCAGATTCACTTTATAGAAATTTTCAGCCAAGTATGGACTGAAATATGATTATATTATAATGATCTATAATTAATATTTACACTTTAAGTGTACTTTGACATCATCAGTGTACAACATTTGAAGATATTTCATAATTCTTTTATCATCCTATAACAAACATAGCGTGGGTGTCATCCAATTTGTAATGGCAACCCCAAAACAGGACTGGCACCCAGGCTATAACAAACACTGCATTCTAATTCCACTTCCACTGTATGCGTGGTTTACACTATGTTATAAGATTATTTAAGTCGTGATGAAATGAGATGTGATGAAATAAAAATGAGCTCTGAGGCTCATACTCATTACCTATAGTACTATGCAAACATCACTAACCCATGGCTGTACAACATAGAACATATCAAAACTTACATCCTTCTTCATTCATACATCTTTGTATACATGTGTATGTCCGTGCAAGTGAGCACTTACATGTAGGAGAGCTCCCAAAAGCAATGAAACAAGCAAGTTGGTACTTTTTACAAAATGGGCATCAACATTTACATGTTTACTGTGTTAGCCTGGGTGATACACCCTCTAAACACATCCTACCAAGTGGTATTGAAGTACTTATTATAATAAGTAATCTCATATATTAAGAGGACAAAATTGCACCTTTGCTTTGACCAGTGTGATGAGGTTGGACCAAACACATAACGTTACATATACATGTAATGCGTCAAGGCATTTAACATATATTAGACATACAGTGTATGAGGTTATATCTCATCAGAATGCTTTATGACAGGCTTTTGTGTGGCATTATTGTCCCCAGGCTGTTCTGCTACACGCATGTCCTTCCACTGTGTAGCCTCTGAGCCCTCAGACTCGCCACTGGTGTTCTGTACCACATATACCTGTGGAAGTACAAACGTTTTTGTCAGTCTAATAATAAGAATGAATAAAGAATGGATCAAACAAACAAACTTGCAGTGTTTACAATATTTTGTATTTTCTAGTTGAATTCTTGTATCTAAGTTGTCCTGGTAAAAGTTATATTCTACTAAAGGAGCATGAGTAGATGTGTAGATGAGTTGATCTTGACAGGGACAAAGAAATAAATACAATACTGAAATTTTATGCTCTGAAATTCTGCAGCTGTGTTTCAGTAGGAATAAAACAGATGCAGGGCTGCCTGACCTTGAGTGAGTCTGCAGGTATGCCTTCCTCTGCCGGTGAGTACTGGTCAGCCAGGGAGGTGTCCAGTCCGTCCACCATCTCCCCCACACGGGTGAACTGCTCATTTAGGAGATTCCTGGACACAACTACATGTAGGGAAATGGAAATTTTGGTTACATACATGTTGGCTTGTATGCAAAAATAAAGTTTAAATGTGCTGTCAGACTAGTCACTATTGAAGCCCTAAGCAACATGACAGTGAACACTAACCTCCCGTGGGCACATGGCCCTGAACTGAAGAGTCCGACTCAGGACTTTTGTTGAAGGGGCTGAGGCTGGGGAAGATCAGCAGTGTAAAAGACAACAGAAGTACCTGGGGAGGGGGGCAAAAGAAACAAAGGTAAGTATATCATATATTATGTGTTATGCATATGAATAATATTTCTTATCAGCATCTCTCATGGGGAAGCATTAATTATGCCTTTTGAAACATAAATAATTAGTTTATTGAAATATTGTGATTTCATGAATGATCAAATACTGGTACATTATACAACATATAATCAGATGCTATAACATGTACATACCATGACAATAGTTCTGGTCTGTGTGGTTTTGTTGGTGCTATTTGTGATCAGAGACTGCAGTTTCTTAAGCTGATCCATGAGGGTGCTGCAAAATATGACCAAACACTGTCAAGTCAACAATAGCAAGCAAATACAGGATTACAGAAACATGTGACAAAGTTAAAACTTTGAAGAAGAAATGATTTTAGAAGTTTAGTACTTACGCATTTTGTTTTTCAAGTTGATGTACTTTCTTCACTAGAGTTAGGTTCTGGGCTGTGCAGGCTTTAACCCTGTAAAAAAAAGTCATGGAAATCAGACTCTTTCGAAAATACAACATAGATCATCTTGCATTTACAATCTGACATCCTCAATGAAGTCAGTCTTACCTGTCTTCCAGTCCATCCATGTACACCTTCTTTCTCTTCCTGCTCTCCTGTGCAGAGATCTAATACAGGACAAACAATGAAAAGTCTGATGAACCACATTTGAACAAATCATTTCCAGGCAAAGAAGAATCATCAGATGTTCTTGTACATGCATTATGCTCCAGAATTCTTTGGAATGTGACCTTACCTTGTTTCTGATTTTTCTTCGCACTCTCTTCAGTGCCTTCTCTTCTTGCTGTGAAATAATTGGAAATGTCTTTTAATGTCAAATGGATTTGAATGCAAACTAGGAGATTCTAGTTGACACAATCAGGAAAAAGTCAGGGTTGAAGGGACAATGTCATGTATAATACCTTAGTAAGTGGGAGGTGCTGTGGCAAGGTAACACCCTCTGCATTGAGAAGTTTCTTCTCTTCATCTGTCAGTTTTAGCTCAGGGAACTGCAACATGTAATAACGGCACATGTTAAGAGAAAGTGCTGGATATCTATCTCACCCTGAAAAAATATAATTACGGTTAAAGCCCAATTTGCAAGTCACTGGGCTTAATTTCAGCATTTACAGATACACTACTGATAACTCAGAAGTAAACATTGCCATAGGTATGCTGACCTTCGTTCCACTCTTGGTGTACATGGGGAGTGTCATACTGTCAGTGTCGACTTCTGGAGAGTCCTGATTGAAGTAGTCATCTGCAACACCCCATGCTGGAGACACATAACAAAGGTCACTTCAGTACTGTTAAACTGTACTATCACTACCAATCAGCAGTTACCATGGTCAACCTGGAAAACAATCTACATATAAACAAAGTACTGGTACTAATAGTGACAACATGACAGCTTCTTTGAAGTTATTTGCTATGAAGTTCACAATTTAAAGTCATTTAATGGCAAGTTTCAAAAAGAACATTTCAACAATCTGAAGAAGAGATACATGCTAGAGTACTTCAGCACTGTCAGGATTGTTCTATGTTCTTGTTATGCTTTATCTTTTATGACACCAACAGCATAGCTCAAGTGCAAGTGCCTATCTACAGAGAAAATGGAACCTTTTTGTAGCAGCTAGATAAAACTTACGCAGGTCTATGCAGACATCAGAATCCCCTGCATTGTCCTCATCATCCTCATTCATAGTGTCTGATGTCTGTACAGTGGATATTGTTTCAGGATCCTGTAAGTACAAGTGTTGTGCACTCATCACACCTGCATCATCATATCTGTCACATTAAATGATAACCAGAATCCAGAATTTCTGGATGATATTTTTAAGATGTTTCAACCAACATGTGGGTACATTATGGACCAGTATTATTGGGAGAAGCTGTTAGCAAAGGGGAAAGGGAAACAGGTTTGAACTTTGAGCTATTTGAAAGTAACTTTTTGTATCAAATAACAAAAAGCATAAGACCACCCATTACCTGCTGGAAGTTTTCTGGTTTTCTGGTGTTTCCGTCAATGATTGCCTCCATCAGGTCAGAGAAGCCCAGATTGTCTTCTGGAAACATGAACGTCCCATTTTCACTGCCCTGGAGGAGAAATATTGACATTTGATGTCTCAGGGCAATACCAGGAATGTCAGACAGGATGAATGGTACCGGTAATGTTTAAAAAGGACAGACCGTACAGGCAAAAGCTATACCAACACTCAACAGAAAAGGGGATAGGCTTAAAGTTACACAAGGACTGTCTTTCTCGTTACATATAACTATTAACTTCAAACAATGGCCTAGCCTTTGATGACGAGCGGGTTTGACTTATTTCTACCCTATCAAGCATGTAAATCTAGCTTGGTGCATCTTTAATTACCAAATCACTGGAGCTGGGCGACAGTCCATTGGAATCATCTGATCCCATGGATCCCACAAAAGCGTCGTCTATGAGGACACCTTCCTTGTCGTCAAACAGGAGATCCAGCACATTTACATCATCTGAGATGCTGACTGTGGGCAGAGTCTGTACATCTGTCATCTGCAAGAGATATACAACTTTTAGCTCTTATGTATCAAACAAGAAAAATGCCAGCAGCATGCTACAACAGTGAAGGCACAGTTACTCAAACACTACAGGTTTACCGGGTAATTGTTCTGTCAACAAAGCATACTTCAATGCCAGTATGGACCTAATGAGGCACACCCCAGTTCTTTCATGACCAGGTCCGTGGTAGTGTCGGTAAAAAAGTGACAAAAGGGTTTTAAGGGTTCCAGTTTGAGGTCATATTCATAGATACTAACATGACTAAAAAGCGTAAGAAATTGTGATTTGAGGGTAAAAATTGATTTTGGCTTCAAGCCTTACTTCTGAGTGTTCTTCAGCAGCAGCCTTGAATAGAAGCCCCAAATAAACTGGGGTGTACCCTTTAACGAGCACAGACAGTACCTTTACTGTCAACTGTGAGATGTCTCTGGTTACTAGTATCTATGGTCTCCCTTGAATATGAATACCATGGTACCTTTCATATATTTTGGTCCTTGCACCATGTGTATGTAACAAAAGCCTATGTTGGGACTGAAAGCAAACCAATGATAATAGAACACTAGCATTCTTTTGCTTATTCAAAAAGTCATTGACTGTCCTTGACCTCTTTTCAATACATGATAATTGATACAACAGAGGTTAAACTTAAAGAAGCACATTTCTTAATCTGTCTCAATGTTTCAAGACAACATAGTTTTGATGAGCTTGCAAGACAAGCCTATGCAGCAGTTTTGACTAAATTTTGACAGACTAAAGTAGGAACTGTAATTAAGCCTACATGCACTGCAGAGTTGCATGTACATGCTATTTACGGCACAAAAATCAAGTCAACTAATGATATTTGAAAACAGTTACTACATGATCAGCATTAAGGTAATTGCTACTTTTGCACATAATTATCAAAGTCTAAAACAAACAGCGTTATAAAGACACTACAAAATAGACAAACCGTAATGACAGTAACGCCATCCTGGCATGGTGAGGCCATGTTTTACAGTGATGCCCTCAATTAACTCGACCCAGCACTACTGGTCGGACAGGTCACCTGACTACTGAGAACACGAGTAGTTTCATCAGCTAAGCTTAATGGCCCAATTACTAGGGCAGCTAATTGGCTAGTGGACAACTGACATGTTAGTCCACCAGTACAACTACATTTCTGACAGTAACATACCCCCAAGCAGTACAACAATGGTTCTATTAAACCATGTCAGCTTCTCAACCAGCCGTGAGAGCTATAACACCTGACAGTCAGAACAGACAGCCAGAGGATGACCACACTGTGGATGGATTGACAGAGACCCTGTGTACTTGGCATAAGCTATGAGACTGTCTACTCTGGACATCTACCTGGACCAATTACAGGAGCTCCTTGTACAGACATATCAAATAGAATTGTTGGTGGGATTAATAAAAACTTTTCCATCAATTGTTTTCTTGAGTTAAAATTTTTTAAGAAACGATCCTGAAGTTTTAAAATGTCACAAACTTATGTCACTTCTTCCTCAGCACAAAAGTGATATACCAACTAAAATTTGTAACGCAAGCATGTCCCGATCAAAAGATATTTTTTAAAAATCTTTGCAGTACCATAACAAGCCGCTAGGGAGCCCAAAATCTAATTATTTTGAGGTCAAGGCCAAGTTTTATTACAATCCATCCATAATTTATTTTTTGTGTTGTGCTATATCAAGTAAGTCTTGAGTGTAACGAGTCATTCGGTGTGATATAGCTAGCTGCCGCCGCGCCGCGTGTCTTCGAAGCTGGTGTGTTACGCCGAAGAGCGGTTATACTGGCTATACCGATACAGATATCACTTACTACTTTAAGTTAGTACAAACAGACAAATGCTACCAAAAACATAACCTGCACAAATGTGAAAATGGTTACAAATCTTCTCTTTGATGCCCAACAATTTGTTTACAGTACCAAACTGGCCCCTTTAGCTATAACGTTAGTTTTCTATATTTAGTGAAAGTGCAGTAGTGAATATTAACTTGATGTTGATCACTCATCACTAATAATGGGCCCTATACTCTACTCTATAAAATAAGACACACCCCTCAGTAGGACCACACAATACCACACCAAGGTGCCACACATTATGTCATTAGGTTCTAACATTACCTGTCTTGTGATTTTTCCACCAACACATCTGCTTCTTGCTACAGTTTCTCCAAATATCCAACTTCCGGGTTCATTTTGTATCGCCAAAACAGACATGTCTTCAGTCACAAAATCTCCAACTCACCCTGGCAAACGTGTATCCCACGAGCTGGGTTGATAAGACACACTGTCGTCCGCCCTGTGACACACAGTCTTCTTTATATCGCCAACGTCAACACTTCCACCTCAGTGTAGTAACGGGAAGACACATCAACGTAGTGAGGCGTAATTTTCTATTTTGGGAAACAACATGATGACGTGGCCGTGGCCAACCTGGCAAGACTGTACCATTATATGATAGCTAAAGGGAGTAAATGCTTTCTACAATATGAGAGTATGCAAATACATATTTTCTTCTTGTATTTTCCTTTACTATGAATTAGATTGAAGTTTGAGTTATCACAAATTATTTAATTTCTGTCATACAACCGTCATAAGTCTTCAAATTTAGTTTGAACCCTCCCTACCCTCCATACAACAATGGTTGATACCGATGAGCTCATCATTTAGACATTCTCTCCGCCAGGGGGCGCTCGTGATTGGATGACGTCAGACTGACAGAAGCGCCTCCTAGCGGAAGGGTTAATGTATGCTGGGATAGAATAACAAACATGGCGACCATCAACGTGAAAACTCGCTTGGACTTCAAGGAAAAAGAGGGAAATTTGCGCGAGCTTGCGAAACGTTTTAGTCTTGAAGAAGTGGAATTGTCTGAAAGTGTAGAGATCTTCCGAACACAGGTCGCTTCAAAGCTTGATTGCCCAACTTCGGAGCTAGGTAAGAGTGTTCATGTCATGCCGGTATGATAAAGCAAATCTCTGTGTTTATGTGTCGTCATAATTTCCTGCATTATTTTTCTGGATACATGTATCTAAGATTTTGAGTCAAATAAGCTAGATACATGTAGTTACCTCCATGCTGAAAGTATCAGTGGCTAGACTCTGGATAGACGCTTTTTGATTTTTTTTAATGAGAAAAGTTATACTAACTTATAGATGAGATTTTTGGGTTATGAGTTGTATTTTTTTCTTGCTGATGTTGTACTTCTATCTAACCTTGAAATTGTCAACTGCGCCAGCCCTGGTGTCTTTGTGAAGAAGATGCCACCAGGAAAAAGGGTCCTGGCAGTGTCCATATAGGATATGGGTCCATTCTTTTCCAGTTTCAGAAAAATATTTGCATCACTTGCAACAAGCTGAATTTCACAATGCCAAAAGGTTAAATTTCTGAAACTGGATCCTGTGTATTTTCAGAACTCATCTACTGTGGACGCTGCTTAAGAGATAACAAGACATTGGAAAGCTATGGAGTATCAAAGGGTAGCACTGTGCATGTTCTCAGGAAACGCACAACTGAGAACCAACAACAACCAGGTACCAAAATTATGTAACTAATATTCCAGACTTACTGCATTTGTTGAACCCGTCTCACCATAAACTTTTGTAAAGTGGATTAAGTAGACTTTTATTACGAGAATCTTTAATAAAATTCAAACCAGATGGTGTTACATGTACATTGTATTTTCAACATTTCTTTACTATATTTGTTTGTATGCATTTCAATGGCTGTGATATGTATTTTTTGTTGTTGTCTGATGTACAGAAGCAGCTGGAGGTACTGCTGTGAGACAACTCCTGGTGGCCCTACAGTCTGCCCTGCTCAACCCGGCCCACAGGGAAATAGTGAGAAATACCCTTTTGTACAGTACTTAGTATACTAGTAACGCTCCTTGGTATAACCAAGGATATTCTGTATAATGTCCTTGGTATAACAAGTACTAGTAAACAGAAAACCCCACTGCCCAGAAAATGTGACCTTCCAGAATAAACATGACAATGGGTCAGACTCATTGTCAAAATGGTAATTTGAAGTCATTATCGGCCCTGTCCTAGTTCAATGAATATTGATGGACCACATGTCCGGAATGTCACAAGTTGCAGGCAGTCAGGTCCTCACTTACAAGTTACACACTGTATCATGAAGAAGACCATTTGCGCTACTTTTGGTCAAAGAGTTTTTGAGCCGTAGTGAAAGTGTAATGATGCACATTATATGTCGCTTTCCTTTGCAGGTACAACGAGTCCTGAGCAATCCTGTAACAATGGAGAGTGTGATAGCTGCAACACCAGGGCTGGCTTCTGATCAAATTGCACTGGGTTAGTTTTGTTGTTTGTAGTTGCATATTTCTAAAATACATGTTTAAACTGATAGCATTGACTATATGTACATCATTTTTTTGTACTTTCAATGGGTACCTTTCTTGCAGGTGCTTAATCTTGACTTCTAAAAATCTTTGCTTTTCTATCATCATTAGCTTTGCTGAGAGATGGAGAGCTGTTAATGAACCTGGCAGACCCAGCTCAAGTGCAGAAGTAAGATTTTTATGTTTCTTCCTATCTGAGACCTCGATCTACACAAAGTATTGAATTTTCCATTTTGCTCTAAATCAATAGATGTTTGATGTTTGGGGAATACGTGTGGACTGAAGCTCTGTCTTAAAGGTGACCATTTCTCAGCCATGTTGTCGTGCTCCTCTCTACAGGATAGTGACTGCCCACCCCTGCCTGGTGCAGGCTGCCACCCTGATCGCCACTGCTGTGAACGAGGAAGCAGCATCAGGGGGAGCTCAGGGGGGGTCCAGTTCAGGTGGAGGGGGGTTGTTTGGGATGGACTCTGAGGACGAGGATATGGAGACAGCTGACCAGGTAAGAATGTCCCTTGCTCACATGCTTCACTATTTTCAACACAAAGGCTGCAGTGTGAACCATGATCCCCCTCCACTGGTTCTTATTGCCTTTTTCTTTAAATGGTATCCGTACATTGTAGCTGGCAGTAAACTATATTTAGGATTGAACTACAAACCTATGAACAACTTGTTTGAGTGTGCACATCCTCAGACAGGTGTTGACTTGTTACAGGGTGTAGGAGGCAATGACTCCCAGGCTGCCACACCCAGCCCCATCACACCTGTACAGCTGGCCTCTGCACTAGCAACAGCAGCCATGAACATGCAGCCACAGGGTGGACAGGAGGTGCTACAGGTGGGTAATTCTGTGGTGTGAATGGAGTCAGTAATTGTGATATAAAGTCTTTGCCTCTTAATGTTTGGTAGGTATGGCAAAACTGGAGTGTGTTCAGTGTTACTGTTACAGAAAAATGTGATGGTTCTATGTACCATTATCTTAAGTGATAATTAGTGTTCGGTAAATCTCCAGTTAAGATCTAAATACATGTACAACTCTGGCTGATGTACAAGTCTTGCTTTGCATTTAGCACATCTAGTAGCTACTGATATCTTGTTTTAAAATGGTGGTATGAGGACAGTTGTGTGACTTATAGTCCTGCATGTCGTCTGCTGTACAGAGACCGACTGCTAACACAAGTGGATCTAGTTCTGCCACCACACCCACTAGTTCTACTAATACAGCGTCTGCCAGTGGAGGAGAAGCTGCAGGCTCTCAACCAATGATAACCCAGGACCTGTTCAGTCAGGCCATGCAGCAAGCCCTGACAGCTGCCACCCAGGTACCAGTTCTACTGGTTGTCACACAAAACATTGCTGGTGTGGAGTCAGTAATGCATGGTTTCCCATGACATGTGGTGTGTTGGTGTTCAGGTGGTGATGTAGACACTTGTGAATGTGACTGGAACAATTGATAAATCCCAGTTCCCTTCTCTGCAGGCCACCCCACTGTCTTGTTTTATCCACTCTTCACTGACAGCAGACTTTGACAACCCTTTCAGCTTCACTGCCCACTGCACTACCTTTAGTTTCTAGTCTGATGTTCTGTTCTAATATTGTGCGTGTGTGTTCAGTCCCAGCTGCAGCAGATGCGTGAGATGGGGATCACAGACGATGCCCTGAGTTTGCGAGCCCTGCAGGCCACAGGTGGAGACGTCCAAGCTGCACTGGAGCTCATTTTTGGAGACGGTCTATGAAATCACATAACAGCCTTACACGACATGGGAATGTGAATATAGACATTAGGCTCTGGAGTGACAGAAACAGTTTACGAGCTATGATTGTTGTACTAGATAAAGATGGTAATGGTACCCTGGGCCTATACACGAGCATTAATTTAAACTAGTACTGTAGCTGAATATATGTTGGTCATGTTTCTTACTGGTATTGATTTATACATTAATTCATTCAATGACACTGTTCCTATCTAGTGGTTTAATTCCATATTTTTGCCAGGCTCAGGAATACAAAATATCATGTGACATAATTAATTTCTGGCTATTAAAACATTCAGTTACTTTAAAAAATATTTACAATGGCAAAGACTTAGTTCTTACCTCCGGGTAGGGATGTATATCCCGAGCGCGGAGGTTTTGTGAGGGAAGACGAAAATTGCGTTCGCACCCGTTTCTCGCGTTTGGGTGGACGGATATGTCTGGGACTTGGTATACGTTTTGCTGTTGGGCTGTAGATGGTGCACGTTGTTTTGGTTTTTTAGTATGTGTGTTTTAGTGCGTGAAAATGATGCGTTTAGACCGCCGATGGACACCCCTTTCAGTGTGAAAGTGGGCCTCAGCTTTTGACCTTTGCATGTATAAGGACGATTGAGGTCGCGACCACTGATCTGACCTTTCACACAGAGGGGTGTCGATAAATTCTTTCTTTGAAACTGTTCAGATGTGAACCACATGTGCCGTCAATCAACGTCTCATTATCGTGCCTGGTGGGACCCGCTGGGGGGATACTTTAGTACGCGTTCACAGGACACGTAATCGGCACTTCCTGGTTAGCCAATGGGTCAGGGGTCAACGTACTGTTGCGCAACCTTTGTGTTGGTTGTTTTCGGCGTATATTACTTCTAACTTACAAATACCGCGGATTCAGACCTTTACTTCCCCAATTTATACGAAGAATCGGCGGAAAATGGAGGAAGTGACAATAAGGATGACTTGCACATGCGGGGAGGTACTTCAGCAGTTATTTTTAACGTCTGATTCCATTTAACGGCTCCGGTTGTCATTCTGAGTTTCATTACGAGTTCCTT